AATTCTTATAAAATAAAATATAAACTTATAATATTTTTTAAAATTTTTATTTTTTAATAATTAATATTTAAATAATAGATTATAACTAATTTTCATCTGTGGTGATATCACCCAGTATTATAAAATTTTTATTAAAAATTAAATAATCTTAATATTAAAGGTTAGAGTTAGCTTTAGGTTAGGGTAAGAGATATTGTTTAGGCTATACAAACTTAATAAATTGGTTCTCATAACCCGGCCAGATCAAATTTCACAAAATTCTTAAAAAAATTTTTGACTATATTTACTATTTAGGTGAAGTTTTTTTAGAAGTTTATAAAAATTTTTATATGTTTTTTATATATAAAAATATTTTGAAAATAAAATTAAAAGCTGGGTTGCCAGATCATTTTTCAAATTTTATATTATGAGAACCAAAAAATTAACTTTGTATAGCCTTATATGTAAAATTTGATGTTAAAAACTTTTTCTTAAAAATCGAAGCATAGTTTTCATAATAAAATTTTGAATTATTAGTTTTTTTTATTTCTTTGCTTTGTTTTGGTTATACAAGATTCGATGATCTAATTAGTTAATATCACCTCAAGGACAAGTTAGCAATAATCTAAATAATATATACTAATAAATTATAGTTTTATATATATTTAAAAATTAAAATTGTTTTAGACTTTTAATTTTTATATATTAGTTAGATATTTAATTATAATATTAATAAAATATAAAATAATTTTATATTATAATATAATATTCATTGAATATTCAGTGAATATTCGAATATTTATTTGAAATTTTCAATGAATATTTAAATATTAAAAAGATTGAACAAATGAATATTCGAATACAAATTTTTTGACTAGATCAAACCTCTACTTGAGAGTATTTAATTGACATCTTTATCCTCTAGCTTTTTGTTGTCTGTTCTTGTTCTTTTTTATTATATGATCTAGGAGTTTGGGCTAGAATAATTAGTAATTATATATTTATATCATATGCATAAATTCTATATAAATAATATCTATATTTGATACAAATAAAAAAAACTTTTGGGTTTTAATAAAGATAATAGTCTTTTTAAAAGTGATTATATCAGAGATTTATATTAAATATCAAATCAAATATTTGAGGAATCCTATTTTTACAAACATTAAATACAAAGATATTTTGCTAACTAGTAATCAAAATTGAATAATTTTTATATTATTTAATTTGTTTTATTAAAATAAATTATAAGATATAAAAATTATTTAATTCTAATTAATAGAATATAAAAATTAAATTAAATAAAATTTTATCTATTTTACAATTGTAAATATATATAAATTCTATTATTGTAACTATTATATCTAGACAAATAAAAAAATTTTAAAATATTAATAAAATAAAATAAAATTTTTTTAGAAAAAAAATAAACTAAAGTTTAATTACAAATTTATATTCAAAGTTAATTAAGCCAAGTTTAATATAAATAAAAGGTTTTCAAACTATAATATCTAATACTTATACATACAAAGCATGAAGAGCTTTATGTTATTGCAAAAATGTTTAGCATTAATCTAAGAAAAAAAGACAAAAGTGTAAAAACTAAACTAACTTTAGTAAAATTTTAAGGTTTTAACAAATCTCATCTTTTTTACTAAAAAAAATTGGTTCTGACTAATTATTGATTGATCTTTATACTATGAGCTCTCTATTTTTTGTGTATATAGTATTAATCAAGGTGAAAAGGCAAAAAACTTCAGCCAAAAAGCATGATAATAAGTCAATTATTGCTCAAAGAGAACATTTCAGAATTGATTAGAAGATAATTCAATATACTTAAATTGATAATCATGTGAGTAATGTAAATAGCAATCATTTGGGTAGTAAGCCCTTATCTAAATTCGCTAACAAAAAAACAATAATATATATTATTTACATACTGTATACCATATATACTGTATATACGTGTCTAAGCATTGCAGAATGAAAACCTGTAACTGTGCGTACTTAATAATTATTATCGCTATGATCAGTTACAGGTTTCACTATGCAATACTCATATAATTTACAAGATACAGTATATTATAATTCATAACACCATGTTATATAACACCATAATCTATAATATGTACTATTAAATATATATTATACTATAAACTACATACTCTATAATTATTACATATAATAGGGTGTTATATTGCACAGGCGTTATGAATACAATATTCCATATATATATTTAATATACGTATTAAACAAAAAACATTAATATGATATGGAACTAAATAACATTAAATGTGTATTAACTGACATTTAGCGAGTAAAGTGTTCAAAGACTGATATAAAGTGCATCTGAAGTGAGTTAACATAGGTGCCTCGTTTAGTAGTTAATTTCTACTAGCCAGAATAAGCGAACACAAAATTAAAATGTTTCTAAAGTAAAATGTGATGATTTCACTGCAAAACATCAAAGGTTGATGGTTTAACGTTATATGGTCTTGAAAGAATCCATTAAAATTTAAAAATTCGGCACTAATATACCAAGTCCCGATGCAGCTTTGGATCGCAGAATCTACTGTAAGAGTAGATTATTTCAATACCTTTTTATTAATCACCGGCAAACAATGTTGAACATCCTCATTAAAGTATATTTTATTGGTGAAGATTGGCAAGTCTTAAATCAAAGTCTTGCAAAAAAAAAGGACAAAATCAACGTTGAATTCTATAGATGAATATCTTTTATGGATATGCATTATATTTGCATCATGTTTCAAAATAATTAAAAGGTTGAACCCTCGTATGAAACGCATGTACGTACATACACATAATGCGGCCCATTGTAAAGTTCCCGAAAGCCATTTCCATAAAGGGCATAGTACCGACAAAATTAACCGGCATTAGATCAATGCTGGCCGATTTTAGTCGGTATGATGTCTTTTCGGGAAAATGGCTTTCGGAAAATCCTGTGTACAATAACTAACGCGGACTACCAATAATGATGACAAATACTGCATTACCTGATACACCTAGAGATGAGCAATATAATTTACTTATTACGTAAAAGTTGAATCACACTATGCGACAATTTACTAATAATATATACTTACAACTAATAACATACTAAATTGTCGCATAGCGTTATTTAGCTTTTACGTAATAAGTAAATTACCTTGCCCATCTCTGTGATATTATTTATATATGATCGGAACCAGATCAATCCAACTCCGGTATGTTACACGGTTTAAATCGAACCTCATTTTTTTTATTTTAATCCCTTTTCCATAATTATTCCTATTATTCTATCTTTTTATTCTTCTATCCTGTCAACTTCTTTTTATTTAACTACCTCTAATTATAAATTACTTTATTTACTTGGGATATGATGCTAATGTCTGAAAATTCTTCTGGCAATAATGGACATTTAACGAGCAATAATAATCAAAGCATTAATATCGGACCCATTAATCCTAGAGTTGACGTTAATGATCATGATGATGTTATAATTCGTGTTGGTGAATCACCAGATGTAAGGATATTTAAAGCGAACTCAAGAATGTTGAGTTCAAGATGTTCCTATTTTCGAACGGCTTTATCAAGTAATTGGGCAAGAAAGGAGAATGATGTATATATCATTGAAAAACCAAACATTTCGCCAAATGTTTTTGAAATTATTCTAGGGTACTAACTTGACTCCATCCTTAACTTCATGAATCTTTATCATAACTTGATCTAATATTTACGAAATTTTAAATATTTTATCCATCCAGATATATTTCTAATGCGACAGTGAATTGGCAAATGTTGGAAGGTGCCGAGTTTCTTGGAATTTGGTTAGCTGCTGAGGAATTTATGCTTGACGATTTGGGTAGACAGGTGCGGGATTTATTCGAAAAAAAGTCGGAGCATCTGAGACCAAATTTTATTCAAATCTTTAAGTTAGTTTATCAAAACGAAACATTAGAAAGGTTTCGTACACATTGTGTGGATATAATTAATACGACAACTTGGCTACAAGATGCGTCAATGCTTGAATCATTGGATGAATCAATTTTCTATAGTTTATTTAATGATGAAGATCACTTTGTTCACGACGGTATCATTTGGAAGATATTGATTCAATGGGCATGTGCACAAACTCCAAAGTTGGACGCTAGTAGACTTGACCAATGGTCTGAAGCAGATTTTGAAACGTTGAAATTAAGGATTGGTCATTTCATACCTTACATAAGATTTTCCTTGATCTCTAGAAATGATTTCTACGACAACGTATTACCATACAAATCGATTCTGCCTATCGATACTACAAGTAATACGGCTTTAACATTTTATTCTTACCTTTTTGATGAAAATGGACTGAATCCGCTCTCTATCTTGGAGGATTCGAAGGTTGTGAATCATACTCACATAGCAATGATTGCAAGGTGGATTGATGCAGGTCGTGAAGGAAATTTTGGTTCATCTACAGCTGATAGTATACGCTCTTTTGATGCATCCAGTAATTATACCCTTGATGAAACATCATCAATCGAAGAGCAAGAGTCTAATGCAGACTCAAAGAATACGAAATCTGATGAAAAGGGTGCCAAGTGGAAGATTCGACGAATCTTATCTTTTCGTAAAGGAAAACGTTCACACAATAGCGACATGAGAAAGAATAATAGTAATAAGCAAAATACACATTCGGATAAAAATGTACCCAATAAGGAGAACAACGCTCAT